CCGCGCGGGCGGTAATTGGGGTTCATGAATAATTCATGAGGGGTGGAGGGGAGGGGCCGTGGGAACGGGAGGGAAGGGTTTGGGGGTCTGAGGGGGAGTTTGGGAGGCTATGGGGAGGTTTGCGCGGTATAGGGGGTGACTGGGAGCCTATGGGGGCGTTTGAGAGGCTTTAGGACTGTTTTGGGGGAGTTTTGGGGGTTCTGTGGAGGGCTTTGGGTTCTACAGGGGGAGTTTGGGGCAGTTTGGGGTCTATAGGGAGGCTCGGGGGGGATTTCGGGGTCTGTGGTGGGGGTTTGGGGGTCTGTCGGGGGGTTTCGCGGGTGTTTGAAGGGATTACAGGTGTGTGTTGGGGTGTCGGGGGCCTGTGTGTTTGAGGGCAGTGATAAGGAGGGTGTCTATAGGGGGCCTATAGGTGCGTGTTTGAGGGGATCATACATATAGGGGATGTGTGTCTATAGGGCGTGCGTGTGTGTTTAAGGGGCCGCTCTGTGTGTACAAGGAGGGTGTTTAGGGCTGCGTGTGTTTGTGTAAGGGGTCTGTGTGTGCATGGGGGAGGGTTCAGTCCATAAGGGATGCGTGTCTATAGGGGATCTGTGCGTGCATAAGGGGTGTCTGTGTACATCCAGGGGGGCGTCTAAACAAAGGCCCTCTGTGTCTGTGGGGGTGTCCGTGTGCCTGTAGGGGGTCTCTGTGTGTGTAAGGGATATCTCTGTATAAAGGGGGGATCTGAGTGTACATAAGGGATGTGTCTGTTTGTATAAGGTGTCTGTGTGTGTGTAAGGGATGCATCAGTCTATAGGGGAGCTCTCGGTGCGTATATGAGGGGGACCGTGCCCCTGTAGGGGAGTCTGTGTGTTTATATAAGGTCTCTGTGTGTATATAAGGGCTCCCCGTGTGTCCATATGGGGTGTCTGTGCCCCTGTAGGGGTGTCCGTGCCCGGCGGTGGTCGCAGGCCCCAATTCCCAGCGCGGGTCGTTAACGCGGCGTGATAAAAAAAAAAAAAACCCAAACCCAC